TAAAAATAAATAAAATCTTTTTTAAAAAGTGTTAAATATGGATTGCCAATAGGACCCAGCAACTGTCCTCTGACATATGCCCAAGAAAAATGAAAACATGTCCACACAAAAACATGTACAAGCATGCCCATAGCAGCATAATTCACAATAGCCAAAAGGTAGAAAAACCTGTGTCCATCAACTGATGAATAAATAAACAAAATATGCATACCTGTACAATGGAGTATTACCTGGCCATAAAAAGGAATGAAGTTGTAATATACACTACAACGTGGATGAAACCAGAAAACATTCGCTCAGTGAAAGAAGCCAATCATAAAAGGCCACATATTGTGTGATCCCATTTATATGAAATGTTTGGAATAGACACTCCAGAGACAGAAATTAAAGTAGTGGTTGCCAGGAGCTGGGGGAGCGGGGTGGGGAGTGGCTGCTGACAGGTACAGGGTTTCTTCTTGGGATGATGAATATGTTCTAAAATTGACTTTGGTGATAGTTGCACAACTGTGATTATACTAAAAACCATTTTTATGGCATATAAATTATAACTCAACAAGGCTTTTTTTAAAAAATAAACTTTTATAGAGTTAAAAAAATAGTCAGAGACCAAAGGCAAGAAAAAAATCCAATAGAATGGACTGGAAATGGAAATTAGGGTGTAAGAATTTATGATTTCTAAAATGTCTACTTCCTAGATATGAATGGGCCTAGAAGCAATGACACCCCCATAATAATGAGTATTCATAGAGCCCGGGTCTGAGTTTCTAACACTGTTTGCCACTAAAAGGAATCGGGGCTCCCTGGAGAAATGGCTGATCCAGGGCTGACCCAGGCAGATATAGGCTAAGACAGAAATATCTTACTGTGCCAAAAAGCAAGACAGCCCACCTCCCCAAAAAGATGGGGCATGCCACAAGAACATAGAGCCAGTTTACAAAGACTGCTACTAGCCAAGTCCACAACAACAGAAGCATCAAAATAATTAAGGACAGCACTGAGCTATATATATCTGGTTGGCCAAAAAGTTCATATGGTTTTATTCCATAAAAGACACATTTTTCATCTTCACTAATAACTTCTTTGACTTGGCTATTTTGACTATGTCAGCTATCTCCCATGCGGTAGAATGTTGACAGTTCTTAATGCTTCAATTTGATTGCTATCAACTTTAACTAGTCTACCCGAGCATTGGCCAGAAAAAAATCTCCAGCACAAAACTTCGCAAACCACTTTTGACATATCTGATCAGTCACAGCACCTTTTCCATAATCTTTTTTTGTGTATTAGTTGTGTTTTTACCTTTCTTGAAATAATAAATCATAATATGCTGAAAATGTTGCCTGTTTTCTTCCATCTTCAATATTAAAATGGCTACACAAAGATTCACCAATTTTGATAATTTTCTTTAAATGCATGCTGATATGATAGCTGTCACAGTATAATCTAACAAAACTGTTTCAAATGAAGTTAAAGACAACTGAGCACTACTCGAGTCATCATACAGAAAAAAAATAAACGAACATTTTGGCCAACCTTTTGCCAACCCAATAAATATCATTGAAAAACAAAAACTTGCAAGTCCACATAAAGATGAAAGGATGGAAGTATGATGGATAGATGGGAAGAAAAGGCTCTTGGAGTGGAATGAGACTTCCAAATGTGAAGGGGTTAGGAGAAGGGGGCTGAAAAATTACCATTTGCAATGAAAATACACATTGGTTCAGGCAAGAATGATCAATAGATGTAAAACCTGAGGGTAAAAATAAGGTGTAGGATATTTGCGTGGTCATAAAGTATCTGCTTATTGACTGCTCATTAGTTGTTAGGTGAAAACCAGTAAATACACAGTGGAGAATCTGGACAGCACCTTGCTAGGTGACCAAAATCAACATCGACAATGAGGTCAGGTGAATATTGGATGTCTTCCAGGTTTAATACATGGAGAAGAGCAAGGAAGTACTCCATGAAGTGTTCTGGCTTGAAGTGCTGACCTGAATCCTTCAGACAAATTCAAAGTGAGAAGTGTTCTGTTAAGAAAACACCTGGCTCTGCATTCTGCAACAGTGTCAACATGATGAAAGACAGAGGAGACCGATGTGCACACCAACTAAATGCCACATGTGATTCTAAATTAAAACCAGCACCAGAGAATAACATGCTACACAAGACATTATAAAGCCAGTTAACACAACTGAAATATGAACAGTTATTTAAGAGAACAGTATCAATGTTAAACTCTTGAGTTTGATAACAATATTGTGTTTACACAGAGAATATCTTTGTCTTAGGATATACACAATGAACAGTATTAGGAGGTAAAGGACAGGATGAAGACAACCTACTCTCAAACAATTCAGAAAAATAATACAGGAAATTTACAACTGGTGAATTTGGGTAAAGAGTATATGGGAAGTTTCTGTATTATTATAATGTTCCATAAGTGTAAAGTTTTTCACAGTAAAAGTTAACAACATATTTATATAAAGTAAAAGAACAAACTATAACACAAATGCCGCAGTGGAAGTCTCTGCTTGGAGGGTAAGGGAAGGAAAGTCTGCTTCTCCTTACAGGACTTGTCTGAAAAAGTCCTTGCTCCTTCTCAGACTCTTGTGTTCCTCTTTCCTCACTCAGCTCCAGAAGTCCCTGAACGAGGTGATGAAGTCGAAAATTGAGGAAATAAGAGAGCAAAAAAGCAAAAACTGAAATGACATAGTGAGGAGGGTGAGACATCATGGAAGGCCTGGAGTGGCTATGCAGCTCCTACGAGGAACAGCTGGGCTCCTCGATCCTCCGCAAAGAACAACAGAATCGGGAAGTCACAGAGGAGGTCCAATCAGAAACATTCCTTTCCACTGTCCCCCCAAAGTGCCTCAGAAATGTGAAAAGCAGGCAGTATGTTCAAGAATCTGTGCTGGCTGATTCAGAGATGAGATCTTCATACCACACTCAAAGGAGTAGGGCTTCAAACACAGCAACTACCACTGAGAACAGGCCATGTATGTTCTAGGACAAGTCATCAAATCAGTTCAGTGACCTTCACTTGGGTGTCTTAACAAGGACAGTGTAGTTTCCCAAATGACCTTCCACGAAGGTACTAAGGGAGCAATTCCATGTGTCAGCTGTCCTATATTCATGTAGACCATTACACTTTCCATTACATTACACTTTACTTGTGCCTCATAGCAAGAGTGACAGGAGGAAGGAAGGAAGTATACAGGAAACTGTAAAAAAGAGAAAGTCTTCCACAGATGTAATAGACACTCAAAGGAACTATTGTCCCACAGAGACTTATCTCTATCAACATTTTTCAGTGTACAGCATTAAGAATTTAAGGCATTCTAAAAAAAGAAAAACATTAAGAGAGAGAACATAAAACATCTTCCCCGTGTCAATATCCTTTGTGTCAAGCAAAATGAGTGGTATGGGAACCAGAGTATCTAAGATTCCTTAGTGAGATGTGAAATCCCAATTCCTTAATCTTATTGAATTTTTAAAATCTTACTGAGATTAAAACCTTGCTAAGGGTTCTTTCACATCTTCTAAGTATGTTGTACTGGTGCCTACATAGTGGTTGCTCAATAAATTCAGGTCTACTAAAAGTAAATCTCCCAAAGACACGAAAGCAAGGTTTAGAATTTTTTAAACTTAAGTTCCTGGATCAAGCTCACTATATTGCTTGACTTCTCTGGCTTACCAGGTGAAGAATATAAACAGAAAAGACACCATTTTGCAAGAAATCTGCTCCCACCCCTTTTCAACCTGGAAGGCAAAAACCCACTTGGACTGCATTACTGAAGAGGAGCATAAGCCCTCCCAGGCTCAGCTCCCACACAAGTTGGGCAGAGTATACGCCACCCTGGGAATCCCTGTCTTCACTAATTATGAAAAAAACTATATACATACTCAAAATAACAGAAAGGCTTTCATAAATTTTGATACAGAACTTGGAAAATTAAATAGAATTTATCTATATTCTAAGGGGCAATAACTTCTATATATTTATATGGTGCTATAATTAGTTTGCAGGAGCCCACCTTATGAACTTCTTTACAATGGATTTTTGACCACATTTTCAAAGGGTAGGGAAGACAACGTTACAGCTTTAAGTCTTTCTAACACACCTTTAGTGCCAAGTACTTCAAGATCTATAAATAATTAAATGCAGATAGTCTAGAAACTCTGAGAAAAACCCTTGTAAGGTCAAATACTCATTCTTGTTTTCAATATAAGAATTAATAGCATATTAATTTTGGTAATTTACCTACTGCATCATTCCATACCTCATGGAGATAATTTTTTCTAAAGAAAGAGTCATGTATTTAGAGGTAACTTCTCTAGACTCTACATTTGCAGGGGTGCAAGTTGGGGCACCATGAGGGTGGGGGTCCGGGGAAGGAGCACAGACAGAGTCAGCTACACACACTGCTTAAAAGGATGAAGGGTAAATGATCTCAATGGATGCTTTTTGCCAGACAAGAAGGGGAGACAAACACTGATCAGAATGGTCAAGAGTGTTGTCAAGTTTATCCTGTTCTGAATATCAAAAGAATATGCAGATTCTGTTGGACCTATAAACAACAATTAGGGAAAGGAAAATGTATGGAGGCAGACAGCCTCATAGAAAACAATTATGTGTTTATTTCAGTGAAACAGAGTTAAAGAAAAAGTAATTTGGAGTGGGATAGAAGAAAGAAAGGATCAGAAACTTAAAAGGAGTGGCTTTCACTTGGACCTGTGTGGTATGTGCTGTGTTATTGTTCACACACATCTTCCTTCCCATGAATAATAACAGTCTGGGACTTCTGGAAAAACGTTTGGGACAGTGGATAAATACCAGCCATGCTTATTCAGTTACAAACCATAACATCACTGTCACATTTTTCACATTTCCTGAATCATTGACAAAATACATGAACCATTGTCACCCATCCTAGACAGTTATTTAACCTCTCTTCACTGCACAGTCATTATGAAGAACACAGGGGTAGAGCTTCACTTACATGGTTAATGAAGAGACTCTTGCGTTTTTCTCTCACTGTGAAAACAAAAGATGCAACAAAAATGTTACATGCCTGCATGTCAACCCCTTACAGGTTACTGAGGGCTAAGCCTGTGTGTCATGATCCCATTCTTCCACCAACCAACATACCCAATTGCTCCAATACCAAATATAAGAATATGTGACCTGCACACTGCAGATCAGAACCTGATTAACAGAGCAAAATATATGCCCACTTATTTAAACTATGGCATGCTAACAAACTAAAAGTAGCTATAATTAACCAAAAGGTAATACTCTTCCAATAACCAAATAAAATATTAATTACTAAATCTCATAAAACTTGTATGCATCCATTAATTTAATTTAAAATAATTAATAAATAAGAGGACAACTGATTTCCAAACAGAGCAGATCCACAAAGGTCGATACTATAGGGTGAAAGGTAAATAACAAGGCCATCACAACATTAAGATACAGGACAAAATATGCCAGAATCATTATCAACATGGAAACCAATTCCTCTCTCTCTGTGCTGGGAGCTGGGAAATAAAGCCAGACTTCTGTCTAGGAGGCCTGATGGAGCCTCTTAGAGTACCCTTGCCCTTGAGGAAGCTGAAAAAAAAAATCACAATACAAAATACCATCCTATCTCAGAGATGGAGACCTTAGTGTTTCTCAAAATGGATCCTCAGCCCAAGATGTACAAGGTTGATAAGAAACCCTAAAGAGCTTTTTCATGATCTGATGTCATTGAAGTTTGCATTTTCTTTCCTGAAGACCTAGTTTTGAAGGTATATACTAATCAATTAATGCCTTTACTGAGTAGGTAACTTTAGAAGATAGAATAGGTTTCCTTCAAAGAGGTGACCAATAATGCCACCTTGGGGTATCCTAAAATGCTAAGTAGAAATCCAGATTATCCTTTCAGTAGTCCTGCCCTGCCCCCACCCCCAAAGTCTACCTCCCAAATGAAAACTCACTAGTTTCAAGCTCTCTGTCTGACCTGAGGACAAGGAATTGTTGTGTTTTTTTAAAGATTTTACTTTTGTTTTATTTTTTAGAGAGAGGGGAAGGCAGGGAGGAAGAGAGGGAGAAAGAGAGGGAGTGAAACATCAATGTGTGGTTGCCTCTCACATGCCCCCTACTGGGGATGTGGCCTGCAACCCAGGCACGTGCCCTGACTGGAACAGAACCAGCAACCCTTTGGTTCATGGGCCGGCACTTGATCCACTGAGCCACACCAGCCAGGGCATGGAAACTGTTTTCCTAGTTTACATTTTATTCAATTTCCTTAGAAGTTCTATCCTATCTGAAGTGAGTCTGTCCCTCTTCCTACCTCAAAGATACCCTGGAATATAAAAGTAAAACCAGCCTGAGGGTATTCTTGGGAGAAAGTGCCCATAGGCCATCAGCTGAATCCATGCACAGGCCACTGGCATACACCAACCACAGAGAGAGTGTGGGCCACTTGGCTACACCTGAGGCCAGACCAGCACACCAAAAGCTCTCTAGAGTGCACAGACAACAGTTGTGGACTATGTCTGGTGAGACAGTGTAGAGGTTGCATGATTACTTTTGACCTAACTCGAAATAAGTATGCACACGTGAACCATAACAAAAAAAAACAAAAAAAAAAAAGAGGAGCTGTCGAGAAGCACTGGGTTTTAACTTCCTGGCACTATACACTCTGTGTATCTGTTCACATATATCTGTGCACATGTGTATCTTCCTTAAATTATTTCAATACTAAATTATTGTGCATCTAGTCAGGTTTGCTCAATTACATGGAGGCATGATGGCATCTTTTCATGATGATTTCCCATGGGCTGAAGGGACCTGAGAACACTTTCTACACAGGCAGCAGACCTGAAATCCCACAGACGACATTTAGCCCTTCTGAGGGTACCCAACAATCGATATGTGCAGAGGCTTTCTGTCTCCCAATTACTGGAATGGCCTCCATGGTCACCTTGTCATCCACCTCCAATAGATAAAAAGATATTCATCCATGCCTCAAGAAATATTACAGCTTCTTATATGGGTACTACTAAAAAGATTACAAATTATTCAAAAATAAGAGAGAACTGAAATATAGAATCATTAATGTTTTGACTCAAAATTTTAACAAGAAAGTTTTAAAACAAAAATAAAATCACAATACACAAATGAATAGGAATATTGTAAAAGTATATGCTATTGTTGTACATCTCCTACAAGGATAAATATCAGGGAAGAATCAGACAATTTCCATGAATCCCACTGGTTCCAATTAGAATAGTAGAAAACAGGAGATCACTAAGACTAATACAAAACATGTAAGGACAAGGTATCTGAATCTATTATAGAATACCTGTTCTTGCACAAAGGAACACCTGCACACTCCTTTATTTTCCACAGGGCAACTGAACCTGCTGAATCTTATCTGAAATCTGGCCACCTTTCTGTTATATTTTGTAATTCTGCCCCTAAGAGGACCTTTGAGAAAATCAAACCTACACAGTATCTGAGAGGCTTTTTCCACACCTGTCCCTATGACAGACCTCCTTCTGGAATGTCTCCTGAGTCTGTTACAGGGTGCAGCCAAGAGCGGGGATCCCAAATAGGCATTTGAAATGGGGTCCAGAACTCAAGGTGTCCAGGAGATTTTAAGATGTCTCCACCCCCACCCCCAGGGTGTGGGTTGGGGGAAGGGACAAATAGAGCAGGGCCATTGAGAGCTGTTTTGCATAGCAACAGCCTTGCAGCTAAGCTCTGGCGTGGTCATTTAACATATCTATAGCCTTTGGCTTGTTGCATGGATATGTTAAATAGCTGTGATCACCTCTGAGCCAGGGGAATGGAAGTAACTTCCCCACCAAGACGTAACTGGGGGGCAGGTCCCCGGAGTTACAGGGCCTGCGCAGGAGCTTGGAGATGATTGACTCCTGGACATGGGGCCATGCCTGCCCAGACTCATGATGGCAGCCCAGTAAAGCTGGAAGGATACGAGTTCTGGCATGTGAAGCCGAGTGTGAGAGGAGTCAGAAATGAGGCTGCAGAGGAAGATTGGCCACAGGGATTTAAAACCCAGACTTGGTGGCCATTGAGAGAAGGAGAACCATGCTGCTTTAAGAAGGAGAGCCATGCACAGCCCTGAGAAGGAGAACCATGCGCAGCCCTGAGAGAAGAGAGAACCATGTGGCTGTGGAGGTACAGAGAGGATCACAGCCATTGGAGAGAGAGCCACACAGCTTTAGCAGAGTAAAGACTCCCGCATCCCTGAGAGGGAGAACCACACGGCCTGGACAGAGTGGGGACTCTCCCTTCCCGCAGTCCTGAGAGAGGGAGAACCACGTGGCCTGGACAGAGTGGGGACCCCCACAGCTTTAGAAGGGGAACCACCACCTGGTTTTAGCAGAGATCCCAGCAACTCAGTTGAGGGTGCCGGGAACCCAGGGAGGTCTCCCAGTCAAGATGGAGTACTAACTGGGAAGAACCAGAGGACTGCCTGAGCCATGGATTTCTATTTCCTTTCCTGAGATACGGTACTCTGGACTGGGCAAAGGGGGAAGGAAGGAAGGACTGTGTCTGTTTGTGGGTGTTTTAAGGGACTTTAGGATTTTTGATAAAGACATTAGGTCACTACTTGAAGTTTGTATAGCATTAAATAAACATTTCCTTTACTTTTCACGAATCTCTGGCATTGAGAGACGTCTTTCCTCGGGCTGCAGACATAACGGACCCAGGGCCTTCTTTCAATAATAGTATATCGTCCCAGGCCCCCCTTGTTTGTTCTGTAACAAGTCCACAAACCAACTGCCTGTCCCCATGTAACAGGGTGCAGCCAGGGGGCCCCTGCATTAGGGATTTGTAATGGGGTCCAGAACTCAGGGTGTCCAGGAAATATTAGAAAAAATATATGATGTCCTCACTCCCACAAGTCTGAACTGGGGGGTGGGACACATGGAGCAGGACTACTGAGAGTTGTTCTGCATAGCAACAGTTTTGCAACTAACCTCAGCCATGGTTATTTAACATATCTATAACTTTTGGTTTTGCCAATATGTTAAATAGCTGTGGCCATGCTTTGAGCCAGGGAGATGGAAGTGACTTCCACCCAGGATGTAACTGGGAAGCAACTCCCCCCTGGTTACATCGCCTTTGTGAGAGCTTGGAGAGGATTCACTCCATGCCATGGGGCCCTGCCTGCCGGGACTAACTATGGCAGCCCAGTAAAGCTGGAAAAATACGGGAATGCTGGCAGGTGTAGCTGATCATGGGAGGACTTGGAAATGGGGATACAGAGGAAGGTTGGCGCTGGGATTTCAACCCAGCCACGGCAGCCACACTAGGAGAGGGCCATGCAGCTTAGGAAGCCGGAAAGCAAGATGTAGCAGTGATGCAGAGCTCTCTCTTAGCAGTTTGGAAGAATGCAGGAGAGACACTGTGGGAAAGAAAGGGGTGAAAGGACTCTTGCTGGTTAGTCATGAGAAGGTGCCATGTGGGTTTGGATTAAGAACTGGAGATCCCTGTGACACAGCTGATGGTGGTGGGAACCAAGGGAGACCTGTCAGCTGTGCATGGAGTACTGGGGAGAACCAGGAGCTACCAGAGCCACGGACTTCTTATTTCTTTTCCTGAGACCGGGCAAAGGGGAGAAGGAAGGACTCTGTGAGTTTATGGGTGTTTTAAGGGTCTTTGGGATCTTAATGAAGACATTAAGTCATTACTCTAAGTGTAGGAGGGTATAATCAGGGAGCCCCCAAAAGAAGGATTTGTAATGGGGTCCAGAACTCAAGGTATCCAGGAAATAGTAGAAAGATATATGGGATGTCCTCACCCTCTACCACAGGTATGAGTTGGGGGAAGGGACACATGGAGCAGGGCCATTCAGAGCTGTTTTGCATAGCAACAGCTTTATAGCTAACCTCTGGCGTGGTCATTTAACACATCTATAACCTTTAACTGGTTGCACAGATATGTTAAATAGCTGTGGCCATGCTCTGAGCCAGGGGGATGGAAGGAACTTCCCCCCAAGATGTAACTGGGAGGCA